TCACTAAAATATATACATGCATGTGGGTTCATAGTAATCATATGTGTTCCCTTTGCAAGCACTTGAATTATTTTCACGCTGTTGTAAATATTCCTTGATTAAGCACCCACGGGAGCTTGTTTATTGAAATCGATTTTCTCTTGCGCATAGAACTATTCTCTGATTTCCCAAGAACAATCAGAGAGTAGCATAGTCTCCCCTCTGAGATAGTATCCGCCGAATCTTTAGACAGTTTTACTGAAAGCAAACTGGGAAACAACTTGCGTGATTAGTTGCTTCATGGCATTGTTCTTTTAATTTTCAACTTCATTTTAGTATTATCATAATTCTATATTATCATTTTCATTATTGTTATAGCTATCATTATTTACACATTTAATTCTTTATTTATTTTCGAGGTGTTTCTTTAATTATTTTACTATCCTTATCTATCACTAATTTTTTAGATTTTATAGTTTGCGTGATAACTCAAGACAGTATTTTTTGCCGACAAACATGTAGATGTAGATGTGCAAAGTCGCCTTTTCTAACTTCATCAATTCATTTTAACTCCCTTTTTAAGCAGGAAGAGTGGGTTTTCATTTCTTATTTCATGATTTTAAGAGACGTTTTTTAGAGATGTTGTTAGAGCGGCGTGCTTTATATCGAGGAAATTGGGTATATTGTAAAAGTTTAACAGAATTTGTGGTTTTTGCTTAAAAGTGATAAATTTACGAAATAAGTAAGTGAAAGACTTCCGTAGGAAATTATAGCAATGAAATAGATAATGTTTATAATGCTTATGCTTTCTTATGAGCAAGGCATTTTACTTTAAAAAGTTAATTCGAAAATAAATTTAAAGGTCATGCGAGGCATGCGATTATACCAGAGGCAGGCCGGTTTGTGATTACCACAACTTAAAGGTTTCCTTGGAGTTGTCTAATATAATAATTTACTGCCGGATCTCCCATGGCCCAAGACCACGGATTATTGTAACAACTTTTCCCGGTGACGGACAAAATGTAACGCAGTAAATTACTCTCATAGGAAACTAGGTTTTGTTGTTCACTGCAAATATATTATTAACAGAAAACCGATGAGGATTATGCAGAAGGGTTTTCTGTCCTGAATCTAATTTTAGTTGTTTATCCTGACTTGAGTTTTTCCTGTTTTCTGAGAAAAATGTCACTTTATTGTTTAATAATGATAATAAAAAAAGTCTTTATTTAGCCGGCATGGTATCCATTTCACAGTTTAGTTCTCTTCCGCGAAGCCATCCATCAACCCGTAAATACGCAATCCCTTAACCAACTACCGTATACCCAGCAACCAATAACCTTGTCAATCTCCTTAAATAATAATGAGTGATTCAGCAGTTTACTTTCTACTTCCTTGTTCCATTATTGTATCGACCCCTTTATAGATGGCTCTTATAACAACTGGCTAGGGCAACGTTTTTTGTTTGCGAAATCAGCAGGCTGTATCACCCATAAATGTAATAAAAACCATAAATGTAATACCAACCATAAATGTAAT